CCTGAGGCTCAGGGCTGGAGAGGCAGATCCTGGCTGGAGGGAAACAGCTGTCTGTCCAGGACCCTCTTCTTCCGCATGGAGCCGCCCACCTCCTCCTCTGCGCACTGGCGGGGGTCCTCGGCCCCTCCACCCCGTGGCTCAGGCTCCCCAGAGCAGCTGCCCTTCTGGGCTTTCCCTCTCTCCTCAGCCCTGTGGAAACCAAGCAGGCTCTCCGGGCGCTGGGAGAACAAGCGGAGCAGCCAAGAAGGGAGCAAACCTGAAGGCCGGCAACCTTCCCAAGACAGCCGCAACTGAAAGGGCAGCAGGTGGGAAGCGTCCCGGCAGATGCCTCCCAGGCTTGGAGCGCGAGCCTTCCTTCCAGAGAGCTGCTCCTTGGCGCGGCTCTGCTCTGTGGCCGGAGCCGGTCAGCTGAGCCCTTTGGAAGACTTTTCAATAAAGACTTTTCTCCCAGTCTGAGGGTTGCTGGGTGCCTTGTCAGTAGGGGGACAAGAGATGCCCCAAGTGGCACCTGTGGGAGATTGGGGAGGGGGGCTGTGCCAACCTTCAGCAGCTCAGTCTCCAGACGCCACTTTGCCCTCGCCACCCTCTGCACACCCGCTGGGTAGGCTGCTGCTCCAGCTGCCCGCTTCCTGTCTGCTCCTAGACTGGAAATAGATTATTTGGGGGTGGGAGAGATTCCCGGTTCCAGCTACTCTCCTTCTGTGTAAACAACACATTCCCACCCGCTGCCTCCGGGCCCTTCTGCTTCCTGGGATGAAACTCTGGCAGCTCTGCAACACGCAAGCGGAAGCCACCCGCCCCACATGCCCAGAGGCAGCAACCAGCAGCTCTGCCCTCCTCGAGCCCGTGTGCCAGAGGGGGGCATTGCTTGCCACGGCCACCAAAAGTGGCACCTGAGCCCGTCACCCTGCAGCCACCCCTGGAGAGCCGGCTGCTCTTCTCTTCGCTTTGGGGCACAAGAGCCCGGCCTTGGCTGCTTTCCAGGACAGCCATTCCCGCTGCGGTGCTTAGCCAGGCCACGGGGGAGCCTCTTCTAGAGGAGGCCAGCGGCTCTCGGCCAGCTGAGCAGAGGAAGAGCCTCCAGCCCTCCTGGCTTTTGAATGGCCTCTGCTGGAGCCAAGAAGGGGAGACGGTGGGAAGGGCGTTCAGATATCTAGAAAAGCAGGTAGCTTTCAGTTAAGTTTATTACAACTGCATCTTGCATTGCATATCAGCAAAGTGACCGCTACCAAGGGGCCCATTCTGGATTTGTAAAAATGCTGCCCGCAGTTCCTCCCTAGCTTGCTGCTTGAGGCTCTTCTCTGGCCTCTGCCATACGCAAAGCAGCCCTGGACCACACAAATCCCAGAAGGGGACTTTGGAATGTCAGGAAGGGCTTCCCAGGCGAGACGAGAAATCCTTGATCCCAGAAATCAGGGCGGCTGGCATGAGGTCTGCTCCCCACCTGCCATTTCCAGACTTCATGGGCATTGGGCCCTTAATCCAACTGGGGCAAAGCCATCCCATCTCCTCCCCTTCAATCCGCCGTCCACAAGATCTGCCCAGGGGGGAGGGGGGGCTTGGCCGTTTTTTACCCTGCCCTCCCCCAGGCCAGAGGCGGAAAGCAGGCTTGGCGGGCGTGATCCTCAATGACCTCTGCGCCCCAAAGCCCAGCCGGGCGCCCCCGCCCTATTGCCAGGGCCCCCCTCCCTCCTGCAGCAGCCTGTCCACCTCTGTTCGTTGCAGCCACAGGCGTTGCTGCTTCTCGCTCTGCAGCTCTTCCACGAGGTGGTGGCGGTTCCGGCAGTGTTGCACTCCGTCGCAGGTGCTGGCGTGCAGCAGCCGGCAGGTGTTGCAGCAGGAGCAGGGCAGGGCCCCCGGGAGCAGGCAGCTGTGCATCTGGTAGTGGGCCGGCTCAGGGCTCAGCCCCTCGGTGCTGCTGTGCAGGCTGCCCGGACTGAGGTGGAGGCTCCTGGGCTGCCTGGATGGAGGAGAGGCCGGGCAGCTGGTCGCCTGTGAAGGGGGATCGGAACTCTCGTAGCCCCCCAGGCCGGAGAATGAGAACGGACTCCCCAGCTGAGCAGGGAAGTCCACCTCGGAAGTCCTGCTGAGCTCCCGCCTCAAGGAGATGAAGGAGAAGGAGGTGGCCAGGTCGGGCTGCTCTGAGCCCCGCAGTCCGTTGCCACAGGAAGACTCCCGGCTCCAGGGGGGCTCACTCCGGCACTCTGCCAGCGGCTGGGGGCTCCGCGTCAGGAGCCGGGGGCTGCCGCACTCGCTGAGGGAGGTTTCCTGGCTCCAGAGCCGACTCCCTGGAGGCTCCCGGTAGAAGCCGTGTCCTTCAGAGCTCTCCCGGTAGAGGTCGAGCCCGCCAGCCAGGTCCGGCCGAACCTCGCGGCTCCGTGGCCACCGTGTCAGGCTCTGCAGCTTGGCCACGCACCGCTCCAGGTTGCCCTTGGCCTCCATCCGTGCCTTCAGCAGCTCATCGGGCGGCACGACCTGCGGCTCCAATTCTTCCACGATTTTTGCCAGGATCTGGCATTCCACCCTGGCTGCAAAGAAGCAGCAGGCGGCACAGAGCAGGTTGGCACTCGGCGGCAGGCGAGAATTCACCAGGTGGAGACGGTCTTGCTGGACGTAGCCCAGTCGGCGGAAACTCCGGGCGAGGTTGGCCTCTGGCAGGACCCCCTGAAGGACGTGGACGTAGACCCCGGAGAAGGTCTGCCAAGAAAAACCCCAACCGTCAGCTCCCTCCCGAGACCCCCGACCCTCCCCTCTGCTCCCCCCCCCGCCCAAAGCGGAGCTCACCTTAATGGTGGCAAATTCCTTGCGCCAAGGAAAGAAGTAGAGGTTGACGGCCGCCAGCTCCAGCACCTCGAAGGCCCTGGCTAGCTTCCGCAGGCTCCCTTTGGTGTCCAGGTGTCCCCGCAGGGCAGCGGCCAGCGTGGCCAAGGTGTCCTCCCCATCCAGGCTGCAGTGGAGCTCCGGGTCCTCGAGCAGGTGGTGCCACAGCAGCTCCTTCAGGGAGGCGTCGCTGCAGGCCCCCGCGTGGCCCCTGCGGAAGTCCCTCTCCAGGCAGCGCCGGTACTCCTCCTGCAGCCCCGCCCCGGGCTCCATCCTGCAGCTGGGAAGAGGCAGCCGCTGCCACGCCCGCCCCCACCGGCAGCCCCCCGCCCGCCCCCGGGGGACCCCTCACCGCCGGGCCTTCGGGGGGGGGAGCAGGCGGGGGCGCCCCTCCCTTCCCGCTCTCCGCCCTCTCCTCCTCCTCCTCCTCCTCCTCCCGCCGGCCAGGGGCCAGAAAGGGCCGCCGCCTCCGCTGCCCCGCTCGGCCGGGGCTCCTGGGAGCGCCGGGGGAGCAGGGGGCTCGGAGGGGCCGCCCAGCAGGGCAGAGGCGGAGGAGCCGCCGCAACAAAGGGGGG